AATCCTACAATTACAGAGCACGTAATAAGAAAATAAATTAGAATACGATTCTACAATCCAACATTTTGACCTTCATGGACATATCAGTATAGAGTTGATATGTTTCTTCTGGGATACGTCATAAGGTAGACAATGTGTCATCTTTTAGAAACACATCATGAACTATGGTTGAAGTTTAGAAGGGAAGTTATGTTGAGTTTTATGAAGTAAGTAAGATGTATAAAGTATTTTCCTTTTCGGGTTATTTAGTTAAATGGATCTTTAATTATGGGCATCGTTTTTTTTAATTCTGTAACTCAATAACTTTTAAATAACCTCATATTTAGTGTCAAACATAATACATCTGATATTAAACTATATACCCTTATAAAATCTTGAAAAACAATAGAACATTAGTTTGTAAAAATGATTTTCATAAAAATAACTCATAACCAGACTTGTGCTGCTAAACATACCCTCCTAGATCAAATCAAATACATCGAAAATGTAAAAAATAGAATTTAGTATTGACATACATAAAAGAATATATTTATTTAACGTTTAAAAGGGGCTTTTTAATAATTCCTTTTTTCCCCAACAATGTTAGAGTTGACTTTACCCTATTGATGGGTTCCACTTCCATCCACAGCATTCATTATTGATGCAACAATATTATCTCATACTAAAAAGAGTATATTGAACGTTTCCCATATGGGTAACTTTTATATATGTAGATTAGGATAAGTTTTCTCTCTATCCCTAACCTAAAAGAAACCATGGAGCTAAAATTTGGCACTAAATTTCCACCATTTTTGCTAGTGATTCTTATTGTTTTGTGTTCATCAGCATATTCAAAGCTAATGGATGATAAATTTCTTAAATGCCTTTCTCAAGATTCTCCACCAAATGCCACACAATCAGAGTTTGTGTTCACCCAAGAAAACACAGCATACTAATCTGTACTTGAATCAACTGTAATAAACCTTAGATTTTCCACTCCCACAACTCCAAAACCAATAGCTATTATCACACCTTTGACATATTTCCATGTACAATCTACAGTTCTTTGTTCCAAAAGTTTCGGATATCGAATCTGGATCCGAAGTGGTGGCCATGACAATGCAGGTCTTTCCTACACCTCCTATGATCAAACCCCTTTTGTTGTTCTTGACCTTAAAGAACTAAGAAAGATAACGATTCATTCAAGTGAGAAGACTGCATGGGTTGAATCGGGTGCCACGGTTGGTGAATTGTATTACTGGGTGTCTCAAGAAAGTCGAGATCTTGGATTCCCAGCTGGGATTTGCCCAACTGT